TGCTTGTTGGGATCTGGGTAGACTTTTAACTATATTCTAAATCCCCAACTCGTAACAGTATCTACTGGCCCCTGAATATATCTCAACCTAATCCAGTGTTTGTCAAATCTGGTCTTGAAAGAGCTCACACTCGATGACGTCAAAACACTCTTTGGCAGGATGTTCCAGGAGTTCACAATTCTCACTCCAAAAAAGTTTGCCCTCATAGTCTTCTGGACTCGGAACTTCTGCTTTGAGCTGTGACACGCCCTGTCGTACACATGACGAATTTGTGCCATTAGTCAGCAGACACAACTTATGACCATGCAGAAAGTCTTCGATCCACGCTAGGACACATCCCCGAATCCCAAACCCTTCCAGTTTAATGGACGAGTTGTCGGTTCTGAGTAAACACAAGAAACACTCTGCCACTTTCGTAGAGTGATACGGTATATATAATTTGAAATAAAAGTTTAAAGTCCTGCAATAATAGTCGAGATAAATTTGTTTCTCTAAAAACAGGGCCGCCATTTGCAATGACGTCACCAGTTTCCCAGCAGACGACGTTCTCCAACAAACTCGCCGCTGCAGTCGGAGGTAGTACAAACGATGGCCTCTTCAGACCCCAAATTCCACGTTCAGGTAAGTTTTAAGGGTGTTTTTTATGGTCTAAGTCAGGGGTCACCAAACTACGGCCCGCGGGCCGGATCCGGCCCGCCGACGGTACTTGAATTTGCTTGATAAAACATATGGAACACGAGACGTTGTGATACAAATTAAATTTAAATATTATGTTTAGAATACTAGGAGATCTTCACGCTTGCGGAGACCTCCTGACTGCTATGTGCCTTAAATTTACTATTTTCAATTTCCAATTATTGTATCTAGATTTTCTTGTTTATTGTAATGTTTGCTTATTTCCCGCCATCCCAAGTCCTTCCCCGGCTCGTGGTAGCTCCGCCTACGCTCTAACGTTACCATGGTTTCCATGGCAACACACACAAACACGCATCTTTCCCGCCCCCAGATGCGTCCGGCTGTCAACATAGGTCCGACGCTCCAGAAATATTTACTTCTTTTTGCCTGTCATCCATTTTATAGGTATGTAACAAGGATTTCTTTGTTTGACAGTGATAGGTAAGTGAACTACAAGTGTGATTAGAGGTCATAAAGTAACAAACATAGAATAACAATGCCATAGAAGCCTCGTGTTATTACGAAAATATTATCCCCAGCTCCTCACACCTGCTCATCAGCTGACTAGCGCAGGACATTTAAATTTTATTTACAAGCCACAATACCTATATTTTTGTCTGCTAATGCAATTTACAAGTGTGTTTCTCCAAATAAGTGTGTACATTGCAGTAGGTAAGTGAACTACAAGTGTGAATAGAGGCAATAAAGTAGCAAACATAGCATAACAATGCCATAGAAGCCTCGTGTTATTACGAAAATATTATCCCCAGCTCAGAGAAATTCCCCGGTCAAGGTGTTAATCGAGCTGGTCTCTAGGCTGTTTATTTAGGCCCGCCCTATTTATATATTTTGTAAACCTTATTATGTGATATATTCTATTACCAAAGGTACCTATAAACTTTATATGTACCTTTGGTGAGCCGTAGCTTCACCAGTGACCCCTGAATCCTCTGCTTTTCTTGTGTTTCAATAGGATTTTAATTATGTTTCTTGTAGGTTATGTATATAAGCTACTGTGCCGAGTAGCAACCCTGTATATAAGCTACTGTGCCGAGTAGCATTTATATATATCATCACGTGGCAACACTGCACGTTATGTGGCAACATTGCCCCGTGCATGGCACATGCTAGTCACCACTTGTATTTCTCTCATCCATAATAAACGGACTTCAGTGTTACACGGTGTTTCCCTACCCATCACTGCATTCTTCAGGGAACACTTGTAACCATCATGGCGCAGTGGCTAGGATCTGTGGACTTACAAAGTGTGTGAACTATGCCGAGACAGTTACGTCTGCCGGTGATGCGCGTCATGCGCGTCGACTCATAGTGTGTTGTGTTGTGTTGCGCTGTGTTTCGCCGCGATGTGCAGTGTTGCTCCGTCACAGTGCGTTTTAGTGACGGTGGCAGTGTTAGTGTCAGTGTATTAGTGTGTGTCTAGAGCTGAGAGTTGAGCATTGGCCTGTTTTTTGTGGTACCCACGGAGCACGCAGGCGTACACCCTTCTCGTGTGACATCCCGGGAGACACTGACGGTCTCACCCCCGCCGCGTCTCTAGCCACCGGCATTAAGGCCACCACGAAGTGCATCTGCTGTCTCAGACACACACACACACACACGCACGCACTCACTCACGGACAGAACAGTGGACTCTGCGTTATTTCTGCGCTGTTTATGTCATATATATGTGGTTCGAGCTGTTGAGGCGCCACTTTATATACTAAACAGTGCAGTCCACGCACACACAAAGATGGGCGGTAAGAAGGGACAACGTCAAGATGGGAGACACGACTCCCCACCACCTTCTCCTCCACCGGGCGCAGACTCTCATCCTCCACCTCCAGTGACGGACATTGCCACAATTCTGAGGTGGATGGACGACCGGGACGAGCGACGTAGAGAGATGGAACTTCAGAGGGAGGAGACACGAAGAGAGGAGGAAAGGTTGCGTTTTGAGGCACTATTGGCGACCCTGGCGCTAACCCACCCTCCCTCACTCGCAGGTAGCGCGCATGAAGGCGCCAATATCCTCCCTCCTCCACCACACCAGCGTCCTCCAGGTACTCTTGCCTCCAAACAAACAGCTCCCAAGGCATCTGTTCAACCCCCACCCGCCCTCTCACCAGACGTCACGTTTCAGCTTTTTCGTGAGTGGAGGCGGCGTTGGACAGATTACTCCACGATGGTGGACCTTGACAGCATGCCTCCAAACAAACAGCTCATCCAACTGCGGATGTGTTTGTCGCTGGAGACCCAGAGAGTTTTGGAGCACACGTTGCAAGTACCTCCCGATTCTACATCTTCAGTGACGGATGTGCTCGACCTTTTACAGGAGCACGTTAAAGGTCGGAATAACGAGGCTTTGCGTCGCCGCACCTTCACCAGCTGCAAGCAGGCTGAGAACGAATCCTTTGACGACTTTTTTGTACACTTGAAGAGTTTGTCAGAGGAGATCGACGTCTGCAAGGCGCACAGCCGGGAATGTGAGGAAGCCTGGATCAAGCACGGGATCTTGACAGGTGTCAGGCAGGAAGAGTTGGTGCAGCGACTCATCCCCCTGGACGCTTCCTCCACACTCCAGGTGGTAGTGACTGAATGTCGGTCATACGAGGCCACCAAGTCCGCTGCCTCTGCCTTACGGGCCCCTCCTGCTGTGAGAGCAATCTCTCAGTACAAGAAGGGTAAGAAGGCGGCCAACAACGCGAAGGCTGCCACACGTTCTTCCACGCCTCCGCCTAGTGCTTCCTGCGGCAGCTGTGGAAAGCAGCATGGCCCCAAGACTTGCCCGGCCGCCTACGCACTGTGACCGTAAGGGCCACTGGTCTAACACAGACAGGTGCCCTGCACGAGGCCGCAAGTGTCAGGCCTGCGGTCGCTATGGACACTACGACAAGTGCTGCCACCAACCGAAGCCCAAAAGCCCGCGACGAGGAGGAAAGCAGCGCACTTCCCTCGGGGTGGTTCGCACGCAGCCCCCTCCAGATGGCCCACGCAGCCCCAAGCAGCAGCGGAGTCACATCAGGAGGGTGGAATCGACCACACGCCCCAGGGCTACCCCTTCCCCCACCATCCGCGTCGCTATCACACACGGTGATGTGTCGGGTCACATCGAGGTGATACCGGACACCGGCGCTGATACTACGGTGATTGGGTTGAAGCACCTCCAGAAACTGGGCCTCACCAAACGCGACCTGGGACCACTGCCGCAGCTGCAGTACTACAATGCGGACGGTTCCCAGATGCCAGACGCTGTGGGCTCCTTTCAAGCTGAGATCACCTACGGCGACAAGTCGTGTCACGGATGGATCGACGTGCAGTCTACTCTCGCTACACCCTTGTTGTCGTGGGAGCACTGCAAGGAGTTAGGCGTGGTGCCCAGAGACTTTCCCGAGCAGATCCCAGCTGCTCGGTACACCGCCAGCAGGGTGCGTGAATCAACGAGCGACGCGCCTGGTGCTGCTACACAGAGCTGCCCAGAACCCGCGTCCACTCCCACCCACACAGGACGCTCCCCTGCCCAGAACCTGTATGGTCACCCTCTCCGCTCTTGCGTTCCTGCACACACCAAGGCCTTTGCGAAGGACTGGCAGACCAGAGCCGAGAGCTGCGACCGCCGCGCCGCTACACGTGCCCAGGACGCCAAGGCTCGGTATGACGACCGTGCCCGCCCTCTTCAGCCAGTGGAGATTGGTGCCCTTGTCCGCGTCCAGGACCCGACGACGACACGTTGGGACAAGGTGGGCATAGTGATGGGCGTCGGCCGGTCACGGGACTACAAGTTCAGGATGCCGAGCGGCCGTGTCTGGTGGACGAACCGCCGCTTCCTCCGGCCAGTCCCACCCCCTGCTGCTGGCCCCCTGACCGAGGGCGAGTCACCTACACCCCACGAGGATCCGCCGACACAGTGCACCTCGACGCTCGGAGCGACTTAGGACTAAGAAGTCCGCTCAAGACAAAGACTATGATCGTGAGGGGGGAGGGAGATGTAGGTTATGTATATAAGCTACTGTGCCGAGTAGCAACCCTGTATATAAGCTACTGTGCCGAGTAGCATTTATATATATCATCACGTGGCAACACTGCACGTTATGTGGCAACATTGCCCCGAGGCTGCCATATGGCAAGGCAGTCTCAGTCTGACTGTGTGAGCCGTGCATGGCACACGCTAGTCACCACTTGTATTTCTCTTATCCATAAATAAAGGGACTTCAGTGTTACCCAGTGTTTCCCTACCCATCACTGCATTCTTCAGGGAACACTTGTAACCATCATTTCTAATTCAATGTCTTTTTCATTTTCAGATCCCGTTTTCTTCACCCTTCATTATGTCTACTAAGAAAAGAAAAGTGGACGCCGAGTGTCGCATTTACAATGAAGAATGGGGAGTAAAGTACTTCTTTGTGGAAACAAAGGACCAGAAAGCTAGTTGCGTAATATGCAGCGAAAGTGTTGCCGTTTTGAAAGAATACAATCTTCGGCGTCACTATGAAACAAAACATCTATCAACATATTCAAAGTTTTCTGGAACTGAGAAATATGAGTCCATGAAACGTGGTTTAGAAACTCAAAGAAATCTCTTCACGAGAAAGTTTGCTGAAAATGAATCTGTCACTCGTACAAGTTACAAAATAGTGCTTAAGATGACAGAACGAGGAAAACCGTTTACTGATGGCAACTTCATCAAAGAGTGTATGATGGAAGCAGCAAATGACTTGTGTCCTGAGAAAGCCGATTTGTTTGGAAGTATCAGCCTTTCGGCAAGTTCAGTTGTGCGGAGAACAGAAGAACTTGGAGAGAACATAGTGCTACAGATAAGCGAGAAAGCTAAGAACTTGTTGTGGTATTCTCTGGCGCTGGATGAGTCTACTGATCTCTCGAGTACGTCACAACTTCTCGTGTTCATTCGTGGTGTCAATTTGGACTTTCAGATAACGGAAGAGTTGGCATCCGTTTGCAGCATGCATGGAACAACAACTGGAAAAGACATTTTCATGGAAGTGCAAAAAACTTTGCAAAACTATAACCTTCAGTGGAATCAGCTTCGAGGTGTTACAGTTGATGGAGGAAAAAACATGGCTGGAGTGAGGAAGGGTCTGGTGGGGCAGATCAGGACTCAGTTGGAAGATTTGCAAATTCCGGGCGCTCTGTTCATACACTGCATCATACATCAGCAAGCACTCTGTGGGAAAGACTTAGATATTTCTTGTGTCCTGAAACCAGTCGTTTCTGCTGTGAACTTCATTCGGGGACATGCACTCAATCACCGTCAGTTCCAGGCTTTTCTTGAAGAAATTGATTCTGATTTCTGTGACTTGCCTTATCACACAGCAGTGAGGTGGCTCAGCTGCGGTAAAGTCCTGTTTCGTTTTTACAAGCTCCGAAACGAAATAGATGTTTTTCTCACTGAAAAAGATAGAGCTGATCCACAGCTGTCAGATCCTACCTGGCTGTCAAAGTTGTCATTTTTGGTCGACATCACATCCCACATGAATGAACTGAACTTGAAACTTCAGGGAAAGGATAACCTCGTCTGTGATCTTTACAGAATCATCAAAGGATTTCGGAGAAAGCTGTCATTGTTTGTAGCACAACTGGAAGGAGAAAACTTCTCTCATTTTCACTGTTTCAAAGAGTTTTGCGCTACAATCGCTGAAGATGTCAACCTCGATTTTCCGAAAAAGATTATTCGTGACTTGAAGAAGCATTTTTTGAAGAGATTTTCAGATCTTGACAGAATTGAGAGTGACATTCTTCAGTTCCAGAATCCGTTTGATTGTAACCTTGATGATGTGCCAGTTGAACTACAGTTGGAGCTCATTGATTTGCAAGCAAATGACTTGTTGAAAGAGAAGCACAGAGAAGGAAAACTTGTTGAATTTTACCGCTGCTTACCTGATGTTGAGTTTCCGAAACTGAAGAAATTTGCCGCTGGTATGGCATCACTGTTTGGAACAACTTATGTCTGTGAGCAAACATTTTCAAAAATGAAGTATGTGAAGTCAACACATCGAACGAGATTGACTGATGAACATTTGAAAGCAATTCTCTTGATTGGATGCAGCAATTCCAAACCAAACATTGATGATATCTTGAAAGCCATACGTCAGTTTCACAAATCTCACTAACCTTTTTTGCTGCTTAGTTTGTGAGATTCGGATATGTGCACACTAGGTCTGATGTAACTATCTTTTTGCTAACGTCGCCTTCTTTGATAACTTTTTAGTAAATAAATATGTTGGTTGTCTTTGTTTTTTGTGCATTGCACGCCACTCACCCATGATTAACATGGAATGCTAAACTTAGTTTTTCGTCTTTTTTCCCAGAGCTTTCGTTCTGGCTTGCAAGTATTGAACAGAATGATTATGCGGCCCGCGCTCGTCATTCTTTCAGTTATCCGGCCCACTGTGAAAAAAGTTTGGTGACCCCTGGTCTAAGTCATGGACATTTCGTAAGTTAAGAAATGTGCCGTGAAGTGCAGCTTATGGACATGAACATTCCCATGTTCACACCAGCTCATCTGTCATGTATTCTTACTTGGTAGACTTTCTCTTTTTTTCCAGTGTATTTACAGAGTATATCAGTACTAAAGAAGATACGAGTCTATTTAGAAGTAATAACATTGTCTGGACTTTGCTTTGAGAATGCATTTAGATATATCATCAATTATTTTAATTAATGGGTAAAATTTCACTTTAACTACCAAAGTATTTGGATGTTTAGATTCGAGATAGGCTATATTGGGTAAATTTTAAGTTTTGGTCATCCCTGTACTTAGACATGCAGACTACATTTGTTTTTTCTGATATGTTATGAACGATTTTGACCTTAATTTCTATCGGAAATCACTAGTTTTAGGTTACTTCCCCCCCCCCCCCTTACCGGTGTATGTTAAGCTAACCTTATAAATTATGATATGACTCATCATACCATAACCTATCCTAACCTAACCTAACATATGATCTGTATTTTCTTATGCAATCGAAAAATGTTTTGCGATAGAAATCCCGGAGAGATAATGTGTCTCATTGTTTAAAGTACTTAATCACATAGTTAGAATCTAGAGTCTGGGCATCCCCTCCGCTAGTTACCTCCCTTCCTTAGGACTGCCAACGGTGACAGCTGGTGTCCCACAGTTGTAAGTACCCCGGAAGTTTGTTGACATGCAATTACTGCAGTGCGACGTCTAATGTAATAATGTAAACTGTGTGGGCCTGGAGTTATCAGCGTTTTGGACGATGCAGAATGCGGTGAAGCATGATGCTGTTGCTGATATTCCCCTGACTGCATAACCAAAGTCAACAAGGCGATTGCAGATTCCAGGGGAAAGAGATACTTAGAGACAAAAATAGAGGAAGCTATATCCGTGTTGGTTGCCAAGCTGGAGTAGGTTGGGAGAGAGATCCTCACTAAGACTGAGGAAGTAGCTGACAGAACAGAGGAAGTGGTTAGGAGCAAGCTATGCTAGGCTGTAGCAGAGTTACAGAAGGTGACAGAGAGTAATGCAGGATCCGAACAGGTCCTTCAGCAGCTAGAGACTCTGCAGAACTATATTGAAGAGATGACATCTAGTAGACCTACTGATATGGGAGAGGAGGAAAAACGGGAACGGTCCGAGCGCAGGAATAGTGTTTGGAGTCCCTGAGAGTCAGTCGAAGAAAGCTGAAACTAGGTAAACGCACGATAAGTTTAAATTTCAGAATATTTGTGAAGAGCCTCTAAACTTGTCAGCTCCCACTCATAACGTGACGAAGGACAAAGGCAGGAAAACCAGTGTGCCAGGTCCGAATTTTTCTCGCCCAATTGGATTAGTTTTGCGGGAAGTTGGCGTGAAATGGTGATCGCTGGTTGCGGTTTTTTGGGCTGTTATTCTACTGAAGTTGGCAGGTTTTGGCCTGTTTATTTTCGAAAGCGCACGATGTATTTTTGCCTTACTTTATAGATGTACAGGTCAGGTGGCAGACATTATAACATATGACTGCCGCCAGCCCGGCGCCGCGGCCACCAACACGGACGTGAGACTTCTTCCCCCTCTCTCAAAGGGGATTATCTTGAGGAAGTTGAAGGCATGGTACCTGATTAGTTGACCTAACAATCATGTGGTTTGATTGAAACCATGTTGATATTCTCCACTCACCAGTCTCTACAACCATTCTACTCTCATCCCTGGTCAGTGGAGGAGTTAAATAGCCTGGGCGTTTGTATACGTGTGCTGTAGTGGAAATGGGCAAATGGGTTAAGTATGGCAAAAAATATAAGAACTTGCAACGAGCAAGTTCTGCTAAAAAACAATTAGAGATCATCACAGCGATCTCGTAAGTCACAGTTCGACAGAAAAACACAAAAAAAAATACAGCTCAATTTTCAAACATGAGGACATTATTGCAGTCTAGCATACCGAAAACAAATGCAAATAAATCTGTGAGAATTTATGAACTCAAATTAGCAGCTCACATTTCTTGCCATTCAAGCATAAAAACTCGATCATGTGGCTGAGCTTGTTAAAGATATTTCTTCCAAGGAAATATCCTTACTTAGGACAAAATGCACTTACTTCAAGATTTCTTGAAGCAAACCCACATGTGACCTACATTAAGTGCATTTGTCATTCCTTGCAACAGTGTACTTCGTATGTAATGAAAAGGTTGCCCCCTCCCCTTCAGTTCATGGTGTCAGAGATGTTGTGGTGTGGTGGATGTAATCCTAGACAAGGTTCTTGAAACTCCAGGGCACGAGCAGTAGATATATTCAATAAGTGTACAAGGCTGGGCGTGATAGCCAACCGATACAGGAGCGATTACTAGGGACCCCGGACCGTAGGTAGGCCGAGGCCGATCTGAGGGAAATTAGCTAGCTAGGCAAGGGGAGTTGCTAGACATTCCTAGGACAATAAATGAGGTCTTCTAATTACTCGACTAGCGCGGTACAGACATAGTACATCGGGACATAGTAAATGAACATAGGCATTAGACATAAGCATGGACATCAGACATGCTATAATAATATGTAGTAATACAGACATGTGAATAAATGGTACAATGAATGGTAACAAGAGTCCTGGTGTCAGGCGTGTTCACATATCTTGGTATGTACATATCTATACACCTCCCTCCCCCTTTACGCTCGTAGTGCAATCTCGAGCGGCTACGGACTCTTTTTCCATGAGTCGGGGGGAGCGGCGAGGGACAATGGGAGGATCAACTGACGACCTTCGTTCCTGGTCTGGGCAAGGGGACACAGGGGACGGGGAGGAAGGTTCGTCACTAGAGGATGGCACTGGGCGGAGGTGGCGTCTGTTTCGCCACCACACACGACCACTGGGGAGGCGGACTTGGTACGAACGAGACTCGCCACGGCCCATGACGACCCCGACCTTGTCCCAGCGGTGTGACGTCGGGTCCTGGATTCGTACTTGCTGGCCGACCGTCAACCTGGGAAGGGGGCGGGCGTGGGCGTCATAGTGGCTTGTCACTTGGGCCATCCGGGCAGCCTCACGGCGGTCACACTCGTCCGCCTTGATCTGCCATTCATCTAAGAAGGACTGGGGGTGGGCAGGCACACAAGTACGAAGGGGGCGGCCATACAACACCTGGGCAGGAGAGCGTCCGGCAGGGGTAGGGGTGTTACGGAGTTCCAGTAGGCCCCTGTCGAACTCCTCGCAGTCCAGGTTCCCCGTCGGTGCTGTCTTGAGGATGAGGTATTTTACGGACTTTACCGCTGCCTCGGCGTGGCCATTCGCCTGCGGGTAATGAGGGGAGGTGACGATGTGGTGGACGCCCCAGCGTTCGGCGAAGCTCTTGAACTCGTGGCTATTGAACGGGGGCCCACCGTCGGTTCGGAGGCGGAGAGGCACTCCGACTTCCCGGAAGAAGCAACAAAACATCCGGATGACCCTGGAAGAGGTGGTGTCCCGACCACAGGGAACTACCACGGGCCATCCAGAGAGCCTGTCGGCGACCACCAGGAAAGACTTTCCGGCCACATTAAAGAAGTCGGCGGACACGGACTCAAAGGGCCGCTTTGGGAGGTCATTGCACAGGTACGGCTCTTGTTGCTGGCTGGGTTGGAGTTGCTGGCAAGGCTCACAGGCCTCAACCGTGCTCTTAATATCGGCGTCAATACCAGGCCAGAAGACGGTCTGACGGGCTCTGCGCCTGGTGGCTTCAACGCCGCGGTGGCTGTCATGGAGGCGGGATAAGGTGCGCCGGCGGAGGGCAGCGGGAACGACGATCCTGGGGCCGTACAACACCAGCTCTCCGTCCGCATAGAGGCTATCCCTTAGCTTCCAGAAGGGGAGGGCGGAGGCGTGAATGTCGTAGCGGTTGGTGGGGAATCCAGCGGAGACGTAGTCGAGGAGTTGGACGTATGCCGGGTCTTGAGCGGCGGCGATGCGAAGCTCCTGGAGAGTCCTATCGTCTTCGATGGAGGGCGTCGTCGTCGTCTTGTCAGCAAGAGAAGTGGCTGTGTGTGTCACTAAAGACCGAACGTGAGCAGCGGCCATGGTACAGTCGACTTCATCTTCGGGTGTGGGGCGACTAACAGGGGCTCGGGAGAGGGCGTCTGGTATGCACAGAAGCTTCCCGGCGCGCCACACAGCTGTAAAGACGTAAGGGGCGGTCTTCTCTTTGAGACGTTGGAGGCGAGGATTTTCGATGGCGTCCAACGTGTAGTGATTAAGAATGGGTATGAGCGGGCGATGGTCCGTCATGAGGGTGAAATGCCCAAGGCCGAACAGGTAAAGGCGGCACTTGGCCATAGCCCAGGCGACTGCCAGCATCTCTAGTTCAATGGTGGCGTATCTGGTCTCCGTGTCCGTCAAAAACCTGGAGCCACACTGAACTAAGCACAGTCTACCCTGGCCGTGGTCTTGAAGGAGGGCATATCCGAGGCCGTATAGACGGGAGGCGTCGGTCTGGAGGACCACTGGTAAGGACGGGTCGAAGGGTGCCAGGACTGGTGGTGACAGCAACGCCTTCTTAACATTCCTGAACGCTAGGTCGTGGTCAGGAGTCCAGAGGAAGGAGCGCTTGGGGCTCATGAGGGGGCGTAGAGGTTGGGCTGATGTGGCGATTTTAGGGGAGAAGTCGGCCAGCTGATTTACCAGGCCCATAAATGAGCGAAGGTCGGT